TCACATATTCATGTGCTGCTTGTTAATCTAGGTATATGGAAAGAAAAGCTAGAGGAGTAAAGCAATATTTTCTTAAAGAAGACCATAAGGGTCCATATTAATGAAGGTACTACCCCTGTACACACGATGCATTTGTAGGAGCAAATAGGCTGTGGAGTAGGAGGGGAATCATGCCCTGATAGGGGTCTACCTGCTCTACTCACCCTGTAATCATCAGAGTCCTCTGGTCAGAGTGAGAGGCTCACCACACACTTGCTTGCCCTATGATAAGCTATTTCATCTGTCGAGACCATTACCCATGGATGTAGTTCTATGTATTTGCGAAGGCTTTCACAGCCGGGATGTAATGGTTGTTGTGGGTTTTTCAGGCTCTTTGGCCGTGTTCTCAAGGTTGTTCTTCCTACGTTTCAACAGTCTCTGTGGCCGGCATCTTCCTCTAAAGATGCTGGCCACAGAGACTGGCGAAACTTTAGGAAGAACAACCTTCAGAACACGGCCAAAGAGCCCGAAAAACCCACAAGAACCATTAGATGTAGTTCTACTTGCCTACAATACAGACCTCTTGAAGGGCTGGCCTATACCCTTCTCTATGTTTTCATGTATTGCTGGGCATGTTGGCCATATTATGCAAGTCCTTCAGACAGAGGGAGTGATACAGTAGGATACCTTTCTTCATGAAGAAAGAGTATGGCTGAATTGCTTGACTAATTCTAAGATATTAAGTTTTTTACTGTCTTCAGCTGTTAACATATCATCAGAACTAATGTTCTCTTAACAAAATCATATCTTGGTCATTTCAAGTAAACATAAATTCCATGATTGTGGAGGATCCCATTTCCCCCTACCATAAATCAACTGGAATTCTTTGTTTTACTAAACTCACACTGGATTGGATCAATTTAACAGTTGTTCTCAACTACATTCTCACATGTAGGTATGGTTGGCTATGGACACAAAATCCCTATGCATATGTTCATTATAACTGTATTTGATTAGACCAGTGGTTCCCGTCCTTTTCTGAGTTACAACCCCCTTTATAATAGCTAAGTAACCTGCAATCCTCTACCACCACACACACACACACACAAACACACAGACAGACAGACACACAGACACAGACACAGACACAGACACAGACACAGACACAGACACAGACACAGACACAGACACAGACACAGACACAGACACACACACACACACACATGCTAACTTTAATATCCTACCCTGAAAGGTCAAGGAAGAAATTATTTGCAACACATATAAGGTGACCCATGACTCCCCAGACAACCTTTTACAACCCCCTTGGGCACCATGAACCCCAGGTTGGGAAACATTGAATTAGACTTTTATATATATATTTAGAGTTTCTGTTGCATTTTACTGAAATACTTTGAGTTTAAATTTTTTTGCAACACAAATATTTTTATATTGATATTGTTTGTTCATCTTGGTCATGAGTGAACTTTCACAGCATTATTTTCATAATATTCTCAGAGAAAGAGATTCACAAATGAAAGCTAGAGAGAACAATGTCTGGTCGACTCCTTGAACAAAGAATTGAGGACTTTCAATTTCCAACTCACTGATTTTTGTTAAATTAAAATGTATCTTATTTTTCTGAGCTTACAGGACCATGCGTTAGCTACCAGAATGACCTGGAAAGCTAGATCAATAATTCTCTAAAGAATGTGGTGGCAGTGGTGGGTGGGATAAGGTTGCTATGTAAACAGATATTTAAATATTAAGTTAATAGATGAAAATTTTCCATGAAAATCAATATGCTAAAATTTTGAAACGTTGTGACAGTTCCAACTTATCTAGCAAGACCTTCTCACACCTACCACAACTCGACACACAGCTGTACAGTTGCTAGGCAGCCTGGATTTGAAAAAGATTTGATGGCCCCCTTCCTTCCTTCCTTCCTTCCTTCCTTCCTTCCTTCCTTCGAACAGTAGCAAATCCAGAAAGATTAGTCAAGGCAGCCTATGCTCGTGGCTTGCATTTGGCCTGCTAGGTCAATAAACATTATACATACTTGTTGAACATGTGAGAAGTCTCCCATTCCTAAATTGTGCTTTAAAGACCACTTTCGTGTCTGACCATTTTTTTAGTAAATTCAAAAGAAAGGTAATGGCACTTAAGCAAGTATTATTCAAACACATGCACTCCACCATCCATCTGCTGCTTAGCATTAAAGAAGTCTCAGTTCAAGGAGCACTTTCAAGATCTTTAAAAATATGTTAATTAATGCTATTTGACAGAAGAAACAGAAGGAGGCATTTTGAACGCAACATACAATTGAACCACAAGTGTATCCCCCCCTTGTCAGGGCAAAACTAGTAGTGTAGATGGATTTTTTAAAATGATCAGACAAAACTTAAAAAGGTAATAAATCCATCTATTATCCAAGATATAATATTGCCTCACGATCAGGGCTTTCCAGTTCCTGAATTCCAAGTGTCTGAATGGTGTGAGCTAATACAACGTGCACCCAGAAAACAAGTCATCCCTCCCCTGTTCTGCACCCACAAAAAAAGTAGGGGTGGGGTGGGCGCATGGGCGGACAGTGCTCCTGTGCATGTGTGAAGCGGTGGGGGAGCACGCATGAACATCAGAGGCATGACAAGAACTTTGCCAGATTCAATGGACAACTATAGTGCAAATGGGGTATGGTTCCCAACCTCACCTTCCCAACCCTCACCCCTTCAAGCATGCACCCATGTGCAGGGGTGCGGTGGGTGTGCAGGTGGGCAGGCATTCTTGCGCATGCACGACACTGTGGGGGCGCAGATCCCCACCGCGTCACACATGCATCCAAGAGCATCAGCGCGAGGAGCCGCCCCACCTTTCTCAGAGGCTCAGCCAGTCCGCGGTAAGAAAAAGGTTCTGTATGGAGGACTTGGAACAGCATCTAGTGTGGCTGAGAAGGCCAATTCAAGAATGACAATCCCTTCCACAATGAAGACAAATACAATCTGACCCCTGCCCAGCTCCCTGATTTTATTGCTTTCATGACTGCCTCTTTGCCTCGGCCTGGACAAGGGTCTCTTCAAATTGGGAAGCCATGATGCACCGCCTGCCTCCAGGCTGAACACTCAGATGTCAACATTTCCCATCTGTTGAGGTCCATTCCTAAGGCCTTCAGATCCCGCCTGCAGATGTCCTTGTATCGCAGCTGTGGTCTCCCTCTGGGGCGATTTCCCTGCACTAATTCTCCATACAGGAGATCTTTTGGAATCCAACCACCAGTCATTCTTACAACATGCCTAAGCCAACGTAGACGTCGCTGTTTCAGTAATGTATACATGCTAAAAATTCCAGCTCGATCTAGGACTACTCTATTTGGAACTTTGTCCTGCCAGGTGATACCAAAAATGTGTCGGAGGCAACACATAGGGAACATGTTCAGCTTCCTCTCCTGCCATGCACAAGGACTCACTGCAGTACAGGAGTGTGCTCAGGATATAGGCTCTAAAGACCTGGATCTTGGTATATGCTGTCAGCTTCTTATTGAGCCATACTCTCTTTGTGAGTCTAGAGAACATGGTAGCTGCTTTGTCAATGTGTTTATCCAGCTTGACATTTGGGAGAGAGTGTCAGAGACTGTTGAGACAAGGTACACAAAGTCATGAACAACCTCCAATTCTTGCGTGGAGATGGTAACAGAGGGAGGTGAGTCCACACCCTGGCCCATGACTTGTGTTTTCTTCAGGCTGATTGTTAGTCCAAAGTCTGGACAGGCCTTGCTAAAACGATTCATGAGTTGTTGGAGGTCTTCAGCAGAGTGGGCAACAACAGCTGCATCATCAGCAAAGAGGAAGTCCCACATGCATTTCAGTTGGACTTTGGTCTTTGCTCTCAATCTAGAGAGATTAAAGAGCTTTCCATCTGACCTAGTCCGGAGATAGACACCTTCTGTTGCAGTTCCAAAGGCGTGTTTCAGCATGACAGCAAAATTATCTCAAACAGGGTCAGCGCGAGGACACGGCCCTATTTCACTCCGCTTTGGATGTCAAAGAGATCTGATGTTGAGCCATCAAAAACTACAGTGCCCTTCATTTCCTCATGAAAAGACCTGATAATGTTAAGGAGTCTAGGTGGACATCCAATCTTGGGAAGTATTCTAAAAAGGCCATCCCTGGTAACCAAATCAAAGGCCTTTGTGAGATCTATGAAGGCCACAAAGAGTGTCTGTCGTTGTTCCCTACATTTCTCCTGCAACTGTCTGAGGGAGAATACCATGTCAGTGGTGAACTATTAGCTCGAAATCTGTCTGTCTGCGAGCACCTGGAGTCTCTTCAGTACAATACGGGCAAGCAGTTTCCCTACAACGATGAGAAGAGAGATGCCACAGTTATTGCAGTCGCCCCTGTCTCCTTTGTTCTTATTCAATGTGACGATTTTTGCATCCTTCATGTCCTGTGGTACTCCACCTTCCCTCCAGCAAAGATGAAAAACTTCATACAGTTCAGTAGTGATGGTCTCTTTACAGCACTTCAGCACTTCAACAGGGATGTTATCCTTCCCGGGTGCCTTGCCAGAGGCGAGGGAATCCAAGGCCACTTTTATTTCTGCTAAAGTCGGTTCGCTGTCCAATTCTTCCAAGACAGGCAGGCACTTGATGTTATTTAATGCCTCTTCAGTTACTACATTCTCTCTGGAATATAGCTCAGAGTAGTGCTGCACCCAGCGGTCCATCTGCTGTGCTCAGTCCTGGATGATCATGCCTGTAGCAGACTTCAAGGGAGCTGATTTCTTCCGTATTTGGACCTAAAGCCTGCTTGATACTGTCATACATTCCCTTGATGTTACCTCTGTCCGTTGCATCTGTATCTGAGAGCAGAGCTGAAGCCATTTGATGAGGCATTTTATTTGGTGAGGCATTTTTTCCTAGGCTGACCTTTGCTCTCCCTGACCACATGGTCTGAGGGAGCAAGGGTTTAGCTTTAAATGAGCGTGAGCAGAAGCTCTAAGCTCTTTTCCTGAAGAGGAAGCTGAGGCAGGAGGTGAGGTGCGTTTGGGAGCACATTTTATTTGGTGAGGCATTTTTTCTAGACTGACCTTTGCTTTCCCTGACGGCATGATCTGAGGGGGTGGGGGCTTAGCTTTAAATGAGTGCAAGCAGAAGCACGCGCGTAACGGCTTGTGAAATTCTCTGATTCTCTTTTTTTACTCTAATCTGGTAAATAGGAAAGCCAGATAGTATTGCATACAGCTGAGGGGCAGGAATGTTTTAGGGGTTGGATCATACATCCGCAGTATTAGGGAGCAAGCCAGGTAGGTGGTGCTCGTCAGCCTGGGAAGGCAGCCCATCTAGGAGAAGGAAAGCTCCAATTTCAAACCTCCACTACCTTGTGGCTATATCCACTGATGGAAAAGGCTTCATAAGTTAACCTTGAGGCAAAATCTGGAGCCAGAGTCCCTGAGGCAGTTCGTGCCATTCTGGCAACTCCTGCAATGTTGTTGTAACCAGATGTATTGGCTCTTGCCTTTCCATTGGACTATTTCAGTGACGGGGAGAGGAGGGATTTGCTACTTGGGTAACAGCCTATCCTCCATATTATTTTACCCAGGTTTCATGCTCTGGGGAGGACACTCCAGCTTCACATACAGCGTCGAATCAACACAGGAAGTAACAGTTACTGGTTATTTGCTCGATTGGCATAGAGCATGATGCCAGGGGCTACTTCCAATGGTTGATGCCAGCCATTGAGGATAAGAGAAGAGCTCTAGCAGCATACAAAGCTTGTCCTAGTGAATACAACTTGCAGGCTCTTTGAGCTGCTTGTAGCAAAGTCCAACAGGCTGCCAGGAGATGTTCCAATGATTATTGGCTTTTTGTACTATGGAAAAGGATAATAGAACTAATATTTAAGTAGCTTTGTTGTCCCCCACCCATGAATTGTTGGTTTTCAAAAAGGTGGCTGCTTTAATGTCTCAGTAAACAAAAAATAAAAGTAAAAATACTGCGGCACCTGAAAGACTAACATTTATTTTAGTGTGAGCCTTTGTAAAATATAATTTTGTTCTTTAGATGCATGGAGTACGATATATAAGTCACTGGTTTATGTGCACATTTACCTGGGTATCAGAGTGGAGACCTTTAAGATGGGATACAGAGATGCCTCTCTCTCCATGTATTCTGTCTCTGTATCGTAAAATTACAAAAAACACACAGTGAGGTGAAAAGCAAGTTAGCAAGGCAAAAACTGATGCCCAGAAAGAATAACTATGTGACAAATCTGAAAGAGAAAATGACAGAACACTGTCAGTAGTCACCCATGCCTCCCAACTATGTTACACTTGGGTGGTCTTAGTTGTCTTAGTTGTCATCAACATGCTTACAAGTCATCAACATGCTACAGCTTCTATCCCAGGATTTGGGCAGCAAGCCTGTGCTGACCTATACATACGTAGCTCTCACAACCTTAAACAAGTTTTGATACATAACAGGGCAAGCAACATGGATACAGAGACAAGAACAAGACCTTGCTATAAGCCCAGATGCCAACTTGGGGTGGGGGGAATCTGTTCTGGTAGCATTGTTACAGGCCTCAACAATCTTATCCATGATATCAGGGACTCATTTACAGGTGATACCTTCATTAGATCACTTTTTTAAAAAAAGTTAGCTTTCTACCCATAGTAATCTTCATCAGGTTGGGCACCGGGGATCACATGACTTTGCTTGGGTTTCCCCCCCCCTGTACTTTGAAAGCTGCATTGTTCATAGGGCAAGCAATCTCTGTGCACAAGACCAAAAATACAGCAACAGTGATATCAGAAATTACAGCAGGTGCAGAGCATTTCAACTTCCTGGGACACAGTGTCACTGATCTCAAATTGACAATTATAGAAAAAGGGGATATTTGAGAAAGATGTATATCAATAAGTTTTTTTTTTCATTTCGTGTATAGCTAAAAGTTGTTTTCATTATAAAAATCTGGCCTTAGAATTGGAACTTCATTCAAGAAGAACCAACTTCAGGAAAAGTTTCTGTGCTTCAAAGATGGCCATCATGCACTAGCCAAGAGAAACTCTACATTAGTTAATTACTCTGCCTTCTGTCAAGATGTTCATGTAAACAATATCTGAAAATTCATTAACTTCATTTGCAATTGTGAAAGTTCATTACCTTTCCCTGAGTCCCATCTGATGGCTCCTCACCCCCACAACCATGTAAATGGGTATGCAATCTTGTGACCCAATACTGTTTTCAATGTGTCTGAGGAGGTGCATTGCAATCCGTGAAAGCTCACACCAAAATAAAACTACTAAAGGTTAAGATGCCACACTACTTTTCCTTTTGTTAATGTTTTGGGTTTTGCTTTGTTGATACAAGGTCAGGGCAATTACTGGATATGCTAGAGTTTATCACGGAGCAGAAGAAAGGAGCTTGCATTGAATAGGGGTCAACCTCATGCAGGCCACATGTATCATGCTGGATATTTTTATGGCCTTTGCTACCCCTACTTACTGTTGATGTTGAAAGAAGTGCACTACTGGAATTTGGTACCACTGCAAAAGTAAACTTGTCAACCTTACTTTTCCTTCTTGAATGCCAGAAATAACTAATAAAACTAATTTCAAAAGTTCTCTGGAGACAGCAGTGACCAAACTCTAACAGGTACAGTACAAGATCCTCAACCATGCTCCCACTTACTACCCAAAATTTTCAAACCAGATAATCCTGGGCAGCACACTGTATTGAGTACTGGGACCATCACCTTTAGGTTGGCTAGAAATGTGAACTTAGTTCTCAAACCATATGCTTCCAACACTCCAGCTATGTAAGAAATACACCTCTTCCTCAGGAAGTTACAGTTCATCTGCAATCTTCCAGAGGATGCCATCCCAGCCAAGGTGAATGTACAGGATCTTTTCACAAGTATTCTTCTCAAAAACGGTCTATGAGCCATGAAAAATACCATTCCAAATGAGGCCACAGCAAATCTGGCTACCAGTTGTGGAACTTCATACACGGACATAACTGTTTCACATTTGGCAATAACATAGTATATGGTACAGCTATGGGCACACATATGGCTCCATGGTATGGAAATAGATTCATGCCTGCTCACCTAGAATAATATGTCTTCAGTTCCTCTGCCTAAAACTTCTCTTGGTATATGAGATTCAATGACAACGACTTCATCATCTAGACTCACAAAAGGAATTGCTGGAGAAATCTCACCAGAACTTAATAACTTTGTTCTTTCCATCAGCCTAAGCCTGGAACAAGTATACTTTCTGGATACCATGATGCAACTGAACAAGATACATATTGGCTTTACATTATATCAGAAACACACTGACCTTACAGGCCTCCAGCTTCTATCCCAAACACACCACCCAATCCATTGTTTACAGCTAAGTTCTCCAATATAATAGTGTTTGCTTAGATCCATAGGTTACAGAGAGACTCAAAACCCCTGGAGTTAGAACAGGTGTTTCTTAAACTACAACACTCACCCAGCATAGTGGAAAAGCAAACTGACAGAGCTAGATTTGCACCTAGGAACAACCTGCCAACAGCAGTGCCCTTCTGCCTTGTACAAAGGCCAAACAAGTCAATCATCTACATTAAAGAATTAATGGACACCAAACAGGTGTCAAGAATTGCAACACAGAGAAACCAGTTACAGAGCACTTCAGTGTCCCAAGACTGTTATGACTGCTACAGAAAAAAGGAACCAGAATTGAGAGGGAGACAGCAGAAAGTGACTACATAACAAGTTCCTACATAACAGTAGGGAGGATGAAACCTGTAGAATATCTTATGGGCTTGTCTAACTGAGCCATGACAGAATTTGTGCTTAGGAAGCCTTTGGCTCAAATTGCTACCATCACATTTGGGCAAGTGATGGTATATCAGCCTAGGAAACCATATGGCAGGGTACCACCAAGCACACCACCTTTGAGCATCAGGGAAGTGCCACAGTATGTAGCAGTAATCCCTGAGCTCTGTGCCTTAACAAGGGTGGAATGACCTTGTCTCTGTAACAGGACACAGTCCCACCACAAGCTATCTCCAGCCCCTCTACTGCTTCTTATTTGCCCCTAGCTTCACCTGTTATTCCTGGTTCCACTTACTGTTTTGGCTGCTGTGCCTTTCACTCCACCAGCCACAGCAGGCACCAGGCACCCCTGGTTAAGCAGCTTCTTTGGGTATTTGCAGAGTTCAGTAACATCTTGTCTGTACAAAATAGTTGTCTAACTGCTGTCTCAGGAACAACTTAACATTCCTGTTACAGCTCATGGCATATACTTTATCACCCCGTATAGGATCTGCTGATTAACAGTTTGATAGCCCCTATCATGTGTTTATAAACCACTGTCATTTGATCTATTTTCTGTCCTCATGTGGTCGTGACTCTCTCCACCATAAGATTACATACGGCGGGCATGTATTTGCATTCTGTGCATCTGAGGAAGTGGACTTTTATCCATGAAAGCTCCCACTGTAAAAAACATGTTAGCCTTTAAAGTGCTACAGTAATTTATCTTTTTGTCTCTCCCCCCCCCTTTGCTTTTTCCAATGTCCTGCAACCCAGACAACTTCACAGCTGTCACAGATTTTCAGTGCAACTATCATGGCTGAAGAAACCTTGATGGTGACTGGTGAATTTTGGCAGCAGGGGTACCATTGAATCCCCCAGTACATGTAGGGGGGGGGGGAGAATCTCATGTGCACATACAGTACACCTTTGGGAAATTGCCCATTCTTGGAGTAAATTATGCCTTCTGAAGCCTGCCAACAGTGTGGAGCAGCATGGCTGAAAGATAATCCCATGTGCTCCAAGAGTGCATCTCAAGTTGCTCAGTGGTCATGTACTAAAATGGCAACCTGATGGGACAGCATGATTTTCAATGATATTTCCCTTTATGTGATGAAGGGCAGACTAAAACAGTAGGGAGGATGAAACCTGTAGAATATCTTATGGGCTTGTCTAACTGAGCCATGACAGAATCTGTGCTTAGGAAGCCAAGACTGTTATGACTGCTACAGAAAAAAGGAACCAGAATTGAGAGGGAGACAGCAGAAAGTGACTACATAACAAGTTCCTACATAACAGTAGGGAGGATGAAACCTGTAGAATATCTTATGGGCTTGTCTAACTGAGCCATGACAGAATTTGTGCTTAGGAAGCCTTTGGCTCAAATTGCTACCATCACATTTGGGCAAGTGATGGTATATCAGCCTAGGAAACCATATGGCAGGGTACCACCAAGCACACCACCTTTGAGCATCAGGGAAGTGCCACAGTATGTAGCAGTAATCCCTGAGCTCTGTGCCTTAACAAGGGTGGAATGACCTTGTCTCTGTAACAGGACACAGTCCCACCTCAAGCTATCTCCAGCCCCTCTACTGCTTCTTATTTGCCCCTAGCTTCACCTGTTATTCCTGGTTCCACTTACTGTTTTGGCTGCTGTGCCTTTCACTCCACCAGCCACAGCAGGCACCAGGCACCCCTGGTTAAGCAGCTTCTTTGGGTATTTGCTGAATTTCCACTGTGGAAAGATCTGTTGCTTTTCTGTTTGGGGAGAAATGCAAATTTCCTGCATTTTAAAGCGTGGCTTACAGTCCTGAGTGGGGTTTGAATAGCTTGCTCTCCTGACACCGCCCTGCCACTGACTGATAAACCTGGTACAATGCTCCTATTACTTTGTAGCATCAGATACCCTCATTTGTACTTTCCATGTGCTGATGCAAACAACTAGGCAGGGGGCTCACATTTCTAAACAGTAAAGTGCATGAACTTAGCTAAGGGCTTCTCTGCTGTTGGAACTTTTGCTTGAAAACACCCTTGGATGTACCGATAATAATGAGTGAATCCTGAATCTTGCCTCCATCTTTCCTCCCTTCCCAACCCTTTTGTTTTTTGTTTCGGTCCCACATATCCTGGGCAGCTACAGAGGAAATCTATTTGAGAAGGGACAAGGGGTTTATCTCACAGAGGCCTTTCTTTTATCAGCAAATGCAGGAAGCCGCACAAATCCCTGGCAAGTATCCACCTTCGGCTTACAGAGAAGCAGTTGCTGGGCCCCGGCCAGTGTTCTCAGGGTTGGGGGTGGTGGAGGAAGTAGGCCATGCTTGAAGAGAATTCCCACAAGCGAAGAGCAGGGTACAGCACATTTCTTCAGCTGATTCTGCCTCAAAACAACACAAAACAAAGCCATGAAATACAGGCATAGTTTTTGACTCATCGGTTGATGGTACCCACATAGAAAATGCAAGCCACATGGACAGTGGTGATGCTCTGCAGTCCTGTGCAATGCAAAATATCTGATCATTGTCTGCTAGTGAAATAATTCACAATGATTTGCTATGCATTCTTTGTCAGAAGTAAGGCCAATCTGATTTTGTAGGTTTTACAGGGGGGGNGAGACCTGATTGCAGCTGCTCAGTAGAAAGTCAGATTTGGGAACTGGTATTCAACCTGTTCTAGAAGAGGTTGGGCTCCCCGACAGCTGAGGTTTACTCTGGCGGTGCTCCTTAACTCTGCATTGTCATTGGACTCCCAGATGGCAGTGGTGATAAGGGGAGCCTTTCCACAATTTTGTGTAGCATGCTAGCTGGGATGTTTCTTGAACTGACCTGATTTAGCAACAGTCATCCATGCCTTAGTAACATCACATCTTGACTACTGCTGTGTATTTGATATGGAGTTACCCTTTAAGAAGGACCAGGATCTTCAGCTGGTGCAACATGCAGCAGCAGGGGTTGCTAACTAGTGCGCTGTAACATGATCCTATGAGGCCAATATTGAAATACTACACTGGTTGCTAATTGCTTACTGGGCACAATTTAAGATGTTAGTTTAACTTTTGAAGTCCTAAATGGCTTGGGGCTGGGCTATCTGAGGGGCCTCCTGTCTCATTATTATTTGCCTATCCAGAATTAAACATCCATGCGAGAAGCCCTCTTAAAAACAATCCAACTAACAGGCAAGTGGGAGATGGGTTTCTCCTGTTTGGCTCCGAGACTATGGAGTGCACTCTTCCAAGCTGCAAGATTTCCACTATGACAGCTTTTAAGAAAGAAGTAAAAAAACACATCTTTTTTTAGACTTGGTGTTAGATATTTAACCTGCCCTGCTGCGTTGCTTCTCATCTGTATCTTTTGTCATTCCAATTTTTTTATTGTACTTTGCTGGATTTTTTAATGGGTTTATGGGTTTCTATGATTTTATTAAGATTTTAGCTATATGTTGGTTTTCCTGTTTTTATTTCGTTTTAAAACTTTGTAAGCTGCCCTAAGCAGTATTTTTTTAGTGGAAAGGCAGGGTACGCATACAATAAATAAATGATAAATTAAACATACCAACATGTTATCCTTATGTACTATTTAGTGCTCACTGTTAAAACAAGAGAAAAAAAACTCCATTTCTTTAATAGCCCAATTCGTATGTTACAAATTATAGAGAAACACCATGTGAAGAAGGGAGTGCCATAGTTGTGCCTCCAATTTTCCATGGCCCTGACTCATGTGGAGAAAGTACATAGATAGCAGAGCTCTCCCTCTTTAGACTCATCATCACCATTCACATGTATATAGAAGGATGAGCAAAGCAACAATTGAGTAGAAAGGGTGGACAATCTGTTCTGTGCACGAACACTACACGTGAATTATAATGCCTGAATGGGCCTTCAGTTTCAACATCCTGATAGAACCTTTGCTCTTTTTTTGTTCATTCTTGCAGCGATTCGCTAGAATAGATATAGCCTAAGCAAATAAATGACCAGACCTTTAACTTCACTGATTAAAATTATGGTCTATCTTATTAAAATTGTTTCCTACTGATTAATCAACTAAATTTTAATGGCCCAGGGGCATATGCTTAAACACCACTGGGAAGCATGCATACTAAATTAGATCTAACCTCAGTCTAAAGCTGGTTCTTCTATTCTTTTTTTTATTCTGTGGGAAAACTAAATTGTCGAACCATCAATAACTGCTGGGAAAACTCTCTTCCTTGTCTTGTAACATATGCCAATTCCATGAAGTTTCCTGACAGAAAATCTGGAGAGGAAGATCGTCATTGACAACATTTTCGAGGACTGGAATGGTGAGCATTTAGAGCAACCACCGGATTATACATGATAAGTTTGCTTCTTTTTCTGAAGAAATGTTAAAATGGCGCTTTAAAAAGGAAGTCACGACAATTCTGTTGGCTTATGCAAGTGATGTGACTATTCATCATGCACCTGGCATTCCCCACACACACTGTGCAATCAATTATTCCAAAATACTGTAACACACACACACACACACACTTCCACACATGCCCTTGTGCATGTGGAAGAATTAGAGAGTTCACAACAAGCAAGTGAGAATGTGAACCAGAGCATGCATCCCATTCACTTGATCTAAGGGACACCATATTTAGAACTCAGTAGAAAGTTATCCCTGCCCCAGTTACAATGGCTAAAATCGTTTTTTTTCTTGTCATACTGATAACATGAAGGAAGCAATTCATTCAGGGGGCATAGTCAACATGTCCATCTTAAGATTTGTTCTGCCCCAGAGAATGCCAAGTCTGGCAGTCAGGACTAGTTGATATTACAGATGATTCAAACTATATAATAATATTGGCACGACCTAGCATTAGCTCTCAGGGTTTCTGTCGGAGAAATTAACAATATTGCATGTGGGCTGGGTTTCAGTAAGAGGGTGAAGTTTTTGCAGAAACTAAGACATTGTCTTCTGCCACTAACCAATTAGCAAAGTTCTTTTTCCTTTCCTTGAGGCAAATTTAGGTGGCCTTTTAAGGTATACTTGTGAAATACAGTTAACAGGGTGTTTGTTTTCAGTAAGGTGGTCCTTTACAGGGTTTTGTCTTGCAATAACTACGAGCTGATTAATTGCCAACTTTGCAGGTTTAAAAAAAAAAGGAAAGAAAACATGAAATCCAGTTCCTGGTGCATGTAATCAGTACCGGTTTGGAATGCCTAATACAAATAATACCTCAATAATGAGCTACTGCAGCAGCTGGTAGATGGCAGTTCTAACTGGTAGATACAATAGATGCCATTTATATGGCAAATGCTGAGTAAGCTCAAAGTAGCTCAACTGCACTTGATTTCTGGCAAACTATTCCCTTCAAGCTACATTCCTCTTCCATCACTCTAGGTTTCTCAGTGCACTATGTAGCTGCCACATACCTATAGACAGGCCACTGCCAACAATCTGCACTGTCCAGAGCCCTCCAACTTGACTAGCTCTCCGAGAGCTCTTTCTAAAGATGGTGATTAACAAAACTAGGACCACATACCTATAAAGCTGGCATAGCCATGAGATACTAGTCGCATGACATGCGGTTCTGAGCCCCAAGAAAATTCATAGTTTTGGGTTTTTTATATAAAAAATCTTTTCCTTTCCTTTCTTTCCTTTCCTTTCTTTTTGGCTAGTTATACAGGTGACCTGCAGTGGATTCCAACTGCTTTGTGACATGAACAATTGCATTAAGGAGCACAAAATATGAAAAACCTCCACTGAACACATTTGAACACAAAGGAATTCTCCAAGATATTAGGGGTACTATTTGTTTCCATCACAGAAGCAAGAAGGTTGGCACATGGGCAAGAGGGAGGAGATCCATCACATCACCAAATGCTTTTGATGGACAAACCAGGGTTTTTTTCCACCACAGCCTTGCACAGTTTCCAAAATCACAATTCAATGAAACTGTAAAGCACAAAATTCACAATAAAGAAGTCAACAAATTGAAATGCCATGAGAAAATAATATGCCCACCCCACAGTAAAAGACACAAAAGCTTTGTATTTTAAGAGGTTTGTTCACACTTGATAATAACTGCACATACAGATACAATTCAAGAAACACTGAAATGTGATTTGAAAAATAGTGTGGGAAGGATTGCCCCCACCCCTATAAAAAGGCACCACCATTTTATTAAATGACAGTGAGTCAATTGAAAAATGTCATACTATGACACAGAGCATATTTTTAACTTGAATGGACTTCAGAGGATGAGGACACTCTACAACAGTGCACTCAGAAAAAAATTGGCATTTTAAAAATTATATTGGCATGAAATGAATGTGCATTACTAAGTTTATTTAGAAGCCCCTTGATTTTGATGGGTTTTATATCATAGGAAAAATATTTAGGATTGTTGGTTTCAGCCTTCACGCAAAGGCTTTACTGATGCCTATTTTGCAGTTTTTGGGGGGAGGGGGGGAGGAAGGAATTCCCCAAACCAATACTGTAATAATCAAAGCCCCACCCATCCTTACACTGAGATGTTGGTGAGTTCATCTATATGCAAACAAACTGAGCTATGAATGGCTTTTAACAGCTCTTCGGTGCACACTGTTTTTGAAATCTACCTTCATATACTAATTAACCTCTAGGTGACTCTATGTAAATTACATGATTTATTTGCACAGTTCTAGTGGTAGCAAAATAATATAGCTGAAGAGCTATAAAGGCAGCCCTCAGTTCCTGGCACATATAAGACATTAATGCCTGCCTGTAAAAAAGAGGAGATTCTAGGGCAAGACTCTTATATAGTAAGCAACAAATCATTGTTCCTTCTCTGTCACACCAACCGAAACTTTCAAAGGGCAAGGACCTTAATTGGCCTTGTCTACAGCATTCCATGAATTTCAGCATGTTCTTGCTGATTTATATTAATTCTATTATATCTCCACGTAGAGGCAATATGGGTTCAGCAATCTCTCCCCCTTCAGAGAGCCATCTTTTTATGATTAAAGTGTTGGCAGAGGAGGTGGGGCTAACACACTGCCTTCAACATGAGTGGACTCCATATGCTTTAAAGCATGGCTGAAGAGGGGATAGTTCTCATTGCAGACGGAAGCTGAAGCACTTTGCATGGCAACCTGGGTTTCACAAGGCTAAACCTTGCTCCATATAGTGTATTCCTTACACACAGAAAATTGAACACCACGAAAGGCAGTAGCTAGAAGGGTGCATCAGCTTTAGGGGAGAGTTCCTGAAGAAGGCTGAGCAGGGCTATTTGTATGTTACCACAGCAGATCAGAAGCAAATAAGAAGTCTCTAGTTGCACCTGGGATGGTTAGAGCGATGAGAATACTTTGGCCATCTGATGAGAAGAGAAGACTCCCTGGAAAAGCTCCTGATGTAGGGAAAGTGTGAAGGCAAGAGGAGAAGGGGACGACAGCGGATGAGATGGTTGGACAATGTCATCGAAGCTACGAACATGAATTTGACCCAACTCCGTGAGGCAGTGGAAGACAGGAGGGCCTGGCGTGCTCTGGTCCATGGGGTCACGAAGAGTCAGACATGACTTAATGACTAAACAACAAGAAGTAAGTGAATTTAGCACCCAGCATTTGGAAGTTAAAAATGCTGAGAACAGAACCAAGAAATTTGGCACAAGTTGCTGAAGAATAAGAACTAAGCACCAAAGCAGAAATAGATTCACAGCTGAAGCCCCAACTAAAGGTAAAACCCCTGGAAACCCCCATCCTTGTGCCCTGGGCATGGAACAAATCGGTCTCACCAAACTCTGTTCATCCCCTTTCTGCCTGATAAAGCAACCAGTACATGTCCAAGTATGGCAAACAGATGTTGGTCCATTGCTTATTACACTGGCCGAATTCTAGATTTTTCTTACCTTTGCTCTTAGGTGACTACACTGAAGGCTTGTCTACACAGTATGAAAGAGTGGACTGGCTAAATAGGGTCACTAGGAGGTCCAGTATGCCATTGGTGTGATCCTCACATCCAAGTGGCATATGGACCTCAAGCAACCATTTTTGGTCCACAGCTTTGCCAATATCTTAAAGTGAGTTACAACCACTTCAGGATGTTTGCAAATTAAGCACTTCCTTGGCTAACTGGAAATTTTTGTCTGATTTTCCCTTAAAGGTCTGGTCAAGCACCTACTTGCAGTTGAATCAGGCAGGCTCTTGACCAGTCCTTTAAAAGAGAAGCAAACCATTTGTCTTGTACTTTTAAAAAGTGGTGCAGCAAATGTTCATTGCCCTATTACATGCTTAAAAATTCCATGGAGCTGAGGAAGTAATTATTTTGCCAATATCCTAAAGTGGCTGGCTTATTAAGCCACTTAACAATACTGTATTGGCAAATTAAAGGAGGGCTCACTTTGGGTCCATTTCCAGACATCACACATGCTAGAAATGGACCAAAATAGATAGATCCTTCCCAAGTTAAAAAAAAAAGTAGAAACTGCTGACAGGAGTCAGAAAGGTGCAGACAGGACTGCTCTCGGGGTTAGGAGCGAGCCAGCCCATCCCTGCAGCAGGCAATGCCGTGGGCTACATGCCAATGTAGTCAACCTCTGTGTCTTCATTACATCTAGGACTGAATGTGTGTGCAAATGTGGTAGAGAAGTGAAACCGCCAACCTCTTGTTTTCTCTGAAGAGGAGAGAAATTTCTATTTCCTCCCCCCTAGATATCTCTGGAGAGAAATCTTTCCAAAATTCTCTAGGACTTCTTGACTATCCCACAGTGTTTTTCTTTTTCACAAAAAAGAAAAATGCCTTTACAGTTGTTTACTGTAGAAAGTGGCTGTCTTTGGGACTTTGGACTTTTTCATTTGAGAGAGGGGAGACAGCACTGTAATTGACAGTGCTTCATTTCAGCTGCTGAGAGCAAAGGTTCCTTCTCTATTTAACCTCCTTTGTAAACCCAATGCATTTTACCCCAGTTTTTTGGCAAACATTAGGGGGAAACCTCTCAATAAGAATTTATTTGCTGGGTTCGATCCCCCCGCCCCCACATTTTTTGCTGGAGGAGGAAGACCGCTCTGTTGTTGAGTTTCCCGTTTCAGTTGCTAAAAGCAGAGGCTCATTCTCTCTTTACTCACCTTTGTAAATCAAATGCTTTTTTATTCCCGTTCTTTGACAAACGTTGCAGAGACTCTCTCAGCAAAGATTCCTTTTTCTGGGTTTGGCAGGCTTTCCATCGGGGGGAGACAGCTTTATCATTGACAATTTCCCATCTCCACTGCTGAGGGCAACAAGTCAGTCAATTTCCCCCTCAGAAGAACCTTCTGCCTGAATTCACCCACCTGCTGTTTCCCTCCATTACACAAAGAGCCTGTCCTGTGGAACTGACACCAGGGGACCCTTCCCCCCCCCCACATTGCTGTGGGTGCCTGTTCAGAGTGGATCAGTGCTGAATGGGCAACACTCTGATCTGAACTATCCAGTGCATGGCACAGGCAGGCAGGCAGGCCAGGTTACTCACCGAGGACACTAAAAGACATTTTCTATACCCTCAGTATGGGTTTTCCCCTAAATATGAGTCGAGATGTTGGGGGGGGGGCAGGCAGAAGGAGGGAGGGAAGATGGTAGGAGCTTTGCCTACAATTTGAATGTCCACCACATTCCCCCATCCTTTTTTTTCCTTATTTTCAATTCCCCCCTCTCCCAATCCAAGAACATGCAAATGTCAGAAGAGGCCCAAGAAGTAATCAGTTCAGGGGCAGGTTGGTGCTAATTGGTATGGCAAATATCTGGATACAAATTTGGTTAAATGGTATTGGCACCCTCCTTGTACTGGACTAGTCCCCCTTCTGACATGCTTTCATCCACAGTATATAACTATTTTTCACATGGCAGAACATACCTGATGCTTTTTTGCCCCTGTGCAAGTAAGAACTGCTTCTAAGCAAACAACTTTTTGTAAACTGAAAAAAAAAATCTTCTTCTTCCTTTCAAAACAGTGATATGCTGTAGATAAGTTTTATAAATATATGCAGGTAGCTGGGCAAGGTAATAAAGTGACAAGAATCATTGGCAGCAAGGCAAAGATGCACCGCTGAACAGTTCACAGAGACAGGCTTTACTGCACTGTTGTGTTAGCACCTCAGAAAGCTACTACTGCCTGGCCAGACCACCTGATCTAAACACTAATATTATAGGGATGGAGAATATGTGCGTTGGCTCTGCTGGCTGAAACTGGTTGAAAGTGCAGTCCAACAGCAGCTGGCAGGCCATCTGTTCCTCACCCCTTGCAGCAAGGACATGGCAAGTCCAGTGTAAGTTGCATTCTCATTTATTAACATTTAGTTTTATTGTAACTATTGCTTCAGGTTCAACGCTCTGAGCATCTCGTTGCTATGAACAAGTTTACACAGAATCCTCACTAGAGCCCTGTTCAGCTGTTTAAAGATATGATGAAGCAACATGTGAGAAGGGAGAATGTCCTAAGTTAGCCCAGTCCCACAACCCACCCCGTCGTCCCTTCCATTGCCCTCCTAACGAGGATGGTTATGAATGAATAGGAAAGTGTCTGCTGTTTTTGACGAGGGCTCTCCATGTAAATTGGGGCCCTGATTTTCCAGGATTCAAACTCATCTGGAAGGCCTCCAAGGATGGCAAAGGGTCTCCTGTTTAGATTGTGGCTCACTTCTGGTGAAAGGACAATGAAAACAATGGGATGTATGTGGGGGGGGGACTAGTATGCTTAGCACACATGGTTTTTAATAACTGGATATATTTGTGGCTTTCGGGGGCTTGACTATCTTCTTGATCTGCATGGTTTTTAATAACTGGATATATTTGTGACTTCTGGGGCTTGACTATCTGCTTGACCTGGAGCGGAAAGTGTTAATATTTTGTGTGGCCACCATTTTTTTCCAGCACTGCCTTAACCCTCTCGGACATAGATTCACCAGAGCTTCACAGGTTGCCACTGGAGTCCTC